CATGAATTGAAAGTATAAAGAACAGCATTTATTTATTTATTTAAATAAAATAAATTTATTTAAATAAATAAGTCTTTTTAATGCATCCTTGCTGAAAGAAAGTACTAATTTCTTAAAAATATATACATGTGGGTGGCTTATAATAGCACAATTCTCTAACAAAATGATGATCTCCAGGAAGAGACTAACTTGACATTTAATGGGGTTGATATCAACAACCATCCAAAGTGTCACCACAAAGAAAAACAAAGATTCCATGTGTAAGGGACAAATTAGGCAAATCGACATATGGTGCACATCCTAATGAAAAGGTCAATAGAGATTTTTCAATTAAGGGTTTATTTGAGTCCAATTAATGTTTTCATTCATCTTTTTAAACTGGCATAGTAAACAAACCATATAAATCTTTACTTGAACACATCAGTGGATATGATCTTTTATATCCAAGCTACTGGGGGTGAACTTCTAGATTGGACGTTTTTAATAAGCACAGTTCAGGCAGTGTAGTTCAGAATCAACAATAAAACAGCATCAAAGAAGCCAGCATCAAAGACGCTAGCTGAATGTTAATACACAAAAATACTGACTAATGGGGACCACAGATTTCAGCCATCCTACTAGACATTTCTCTCATTTGGGTGAGGGTTGCTGACTCTTTCAGAAAGAGTCTGGATTCCTCAGCAATCCTGTGGCGGTGTGACATAGAGGCTTTGAATAGGGGAATGTTACTCAGCATGTACCGCCCATCTGCAGCTTTTAATGCAAAACATATGCTGCCATACTGACCTACTATTCAGCATCTGGCAGAGAAAGAGAGAGGAAAAGGGGAGTAAAAAGAGAAAGTGAACAAAGCTACCATCCTACCAGATACAGCTTAACTTGTAAAACCACTTCTGAAATATCGAGGCCAATCACACTGGACCCAGATCCACCAAACAATGGTGAGGAGACAATCAAGATATTGACTTGATATCTTTCTTTTAAAACAAAGAGGCCACAAAAGCAAGACTGCTCTTCTCTAAAATGATGAAATAAATATTAAACAAAGTGTTCAGTGTGTTTGGCCCGAAGATATCATGGGCATTATGGACAAAAATGCCCTCATACTACATACACAAAGCTTTATGAATTAGTTTTCTAAGTAGAGTAGATGAGGCATATTGGTAACTGAGTGATATGTTACATAATCAAAATAACCTAAATTGCTCTTGCACAGCTGGTATACATCATAAAATTGGGCACTGTTGTGTAACAGACATTACCTCTAGTTCATATTTCAGAAATCATTTAATTTCCTTTAAGCTGTCATGACCAGAGTAGAATCATCACGGCTTAATGGATCACTCATGATATCTGTGATATTGACCATATGACCACAGCTAAACACAAGTCTGCTTATTCTTTGCAGAAAAAAATGCTTTATCAAGACCGAATGATAATATTGCAATACATACTAAATACCACAGACAGCATGGAGCATCTACAAAAGGGTTTGTCCCATATGCGTAAAGCCCAAGGTAAACTAGTTCCACCGGCTTCATGGCTTGCAGAGAATGTCTCTGCGTGCACTGAAGAGACAGCTGAACTGGATTTACTTGTTTTTCTCCTGATCTGTAGGCTACCTGTTCTTCACTAGCTGACAGGCTGAAAAAGACACTGACTGTGAGACAAGCAGGGTCTGTGAAAGCATCCTACCATGGGATCCAAGGATCATACAAAGCCGAAAACAATCAAGCGTAACAGAAGCCTAATATTGCTTGAGGAGCTATGAAAAAACGGTGTCGCTTTCCACCATAACAAGAGGACACACGGATAAGCACACACACTTATTCAAAGCAGAACCCAGCCCATCCTTATGGCATATGTACGGAAGTGAGTTTCACATGCGACTACACCTACCTGCATCTCTGTGTGTCCTGTAACCATGGACACTACTGTTTGTAACTTAGTTTTCCACTATTACATAAGACTAAGCCAGGTTGGCATGACAGAATATGTTAATGATGAGTGTAAAATAATTGCAAATGTGTCTAACAGGAACACTGAACTGGGAAAGTGGAAACACAATGGTTATCTATCTGACTCAAGCCTGGACAAACACATAGTGCTAAAAATAGCAAGAAACTAGGTTGTAATCAGGACCAAGTACAACCTGTTCAAGAAGGGCTGAGAATTAGAGACTGTTTCTATCAAAGTGAACAAGAGATGGAGGGCAAACAATAGCTGAATATGACACCCAGCAGGAGCTGTTAGACCAGCCACTACATTCATAAGATGTTCATAATAACAATAACGTGGCCATAGAATAACTAAAAACGTACACAGGGTGGATGTACATACACAAATCCCTGGTAAATTTAAATTTATGTAATTAATATAGAATGAAAAAAAAATGTTTAGTATAAGTTTGTACTTGTTTTGACCACTGAAAGAATCTATCTATTTTTTTTTGTAAATGACCACAGAAAGAAGTTACAAAAATAACACCAAGTAGCTGCTGTAGCCTACTGCATGTCGATAAGGATGCTGAAAACAGGAGCAGTGTCTCGTGTTCATCTCTGTCGTACGTGACCTGTGGGAAGTACATTTTCACTCACCATTTTTATTAGTTTATCACAGCGCAGCCGATCTTCTGATATAATCCGTTCTGTAACTGGTTATTAAAACAAAATAAGCCTATTAAAAGTGTCTGGGTAATGTCACGGTCTATTTTGGCCTCTGGTGCAGTTAAATGTCTCCTCAGGACCAGTGTCGCCGCTCCATAATAGTGTACACCGCGCCGGTAAACCGCTCGAGCGCACTGCCCGTACTGCAGTGAGCGTCTGCTCTACAAAGTTAAACTTTGTGGCCGCTGGTTGACGGAATTAAAGAGGAAAACAGCCCATAAATGGAGAATTTCGTGCGTTGCCTTTGGCCAATAGGAGCGCCGCTCGGCGCGTCATTCCGAAGGGAATCCCACCAGATGATTTCGGGTGTATTAATGCGCGTCCTATATGCGCAGGGAGCTGCGTAAAATATAGTACTACATCACTGTACTGAACAATAAGTTAAATTAGAATACAGCAATATAATTGAAGCAAATTGTAATTATTCAAAGAAGACGTATAGGTTATCGTTATATCTTTAATTTTATCAGTGAGTTTGATTGTGAAGTATCTAGATGTTAAATTCTATTATGAAAAAAACAAACAAACAATAAGATGCTTTTTTGGAGTTCAAATCCAGATTTTTCATGAAAGGTCGTTTTTATATATATTTTTTATATTTTTTGAAAATGTTTATATTATTCTAAATTATATTTATATAATTTATTGTTATTATTTATATTTTCAATATTTTTGTTCTAGCCTATATTTATATTTCTATAATTTATATCTAATATTATATTATTAGTAGTAGTAGTAGCCTATATGAAAATGATCATTACTTGTTTTAAATGTTCATATAAACACTTTACAAAACTCTTTTTCAGGCCATAACCTTATAAGTTCTCCTTTTAGCAGCTCATATTTCAAGGGGAACCTTTTAGTTCACAATTTTTAAGGAACCTTTGACAACTTTTTAAGAGAAACTAAACCAACAAGGACTGACAAAATCCCTCACTCTATCCATCTATTTACAGCCGTGAAGCAAATTGCTTTTATAGGTTTAAATTAAAGAGTACACTACTGTTCAAAAGTTTGGGGTTATTTATTTATTTTTTATAAGAAAATAAATGATTACTTTTATACAGCATTGACACATTAAATAGATCAAAAGCGACAGTAAAGACATTTATGATGTTACAAAATATTCTATTTAAAAAAATCATGTTTTTCATAAAAATTGCTAATACATTGATAATCACACTGATAATAATAATACATTTCTTGAGCATCAAATCAGCAAATGATTTCTGAAGGTTCATGTGACAGTGTCACTGACTGGAGTATGACTTTGCAATCAAAGACAAATTACATTTTAAAATATATTAAAATATAAAAAAGTTAAAAATATTTCAAATCATTTAGATATTTAACACTAATACTGTTTTTACTGTATTTTATCATATGAACGAAGCATGAGATTCCTCTTTAAATAAAACATTAATAATCACAACGACCTCAAAACATTTAAATGGTAGTGATTATATTATATTTTATTATATTTTTAACCTGTCCAACTTTACAATCATATAGCGCATTCAGGTTTAGGCATTACAAGAGAAATGGATGATAACATGAAAGCATTTTATAATTGTATTTGAAAAAGGTATTCTGAGTAAAGGAGAACTGTATTTTCATCTTGGGGCAGTCGTGACCTTACTGAGACTCTGCATGCAAAATTACAATCATTCCAGTAGGTGGAGCCATAGTCCATTAATACACTCCAGCTAAACTATGCATAACATTGAAAACGGTATGTATATATATATACATATATATATATTATTACAGTGTTGGGGAAAGTTACTTTTAAAAGTAATGCATTACAATATTGCATTACTC